CGTAAATCCCTTTCATGTGAGACCCAACTACTGACCTTCACTAATGATGTACTTTCCATACTTGACCGTGGATCCCAGATTGACTGTGTTTTTTTAGATTTCTGCAAAGCTTTCGACAAAGTTCCTCATAAACGTTTACTTTTAAACTCAGTCAACTCAACCTCGATCCTAACGTGCTGTCTTGGAATACATGTTTTTAGCTAATCGTTCTCAGTTCGTTCATGCTAACAATGTAAATTCTTCTATCAAACCTGTTACTTCTGGTGTACCGCAAGGGTCTGTTTTGGGGCCCCTGTTGTTTTTAATTTACGTAAATGACTTACCACTGTTTGTATCATCATCGATTAGCCTCTTTGCTGATGACTGTGTAATTTATCGCGAAGTCACTAATACTACTGACATCGAACTTCTTCAAAATGACTTACAAGCTGTGGCTGATTGGTGTGATTTGTGGCAAATGTCCCTCAATACTAACAAATGTAAAGCGATGACTATCTCCCGTCGAATTACTATATCTCCTACTTACTCAATCGTTGAAATTCCTCTTGAAACTGTACCATGCTATAAGTACCTTGGGGTGCACATCACTTCTAACCTGTCATGGAAAACTCATTCTGACCACATTATCGCCAACGCTAACTCCATGCTTGGTTACCTGAAGAGAAACTTTAGGTTAGCCCCAGTGTCCCTAAAACTACTAATGTATAAAACCTTGTCCGTTCCAAACTAGACTATGCAGCAGCAATTTTGGATCCTGGTCTCTCAACTCTCGTGACTGATCTTGAAGCCCTACAGAATCGCGGTGCCCGTTTTATATTTACTAACTATCATCGCACATCTAGTGTCTCAACTATGAAAACTAATTTTTCACTTCCTGCTCTTTCATTACGCCGAAAAATATCTCGGTTGTGTCTTTTTTATAAAATTTATCATTCCAATACTCCGCTAAAAAACAAACTAATGTTAAATGCTGTTTTCATCTCGCCGCGCGTAGATCATCAATTTAAAGTCGGAATTCCTCATTGCATTACCTCAGCCTATTATAACTCTTTTATTCCAAGGACATCTTCAGAGTGGAATCGCCTTCCCGCGCAATTAGTAAACATACCATCCTTTGACTTGTTTAAAAGTGTGTTGACTACTTACCTATGTTAATATCTCTCTTTGTTTGTTTGCCTTGTTTTATACATTTCTTAATTTGTTTACATATATTTTTTTTTACATTCTTTGTGCTTGGCTTTTAGTGTTTGTATATTGTTTGTGTTCCAAATTTGTCTTGTACCACTCCCCTCTGCAATGCCCCAGGGCCTTGAGGGTACTTAAATAAATAAATAAATAAATAAATAAACAATATATATATATTTATATAAAATCCACGCAAGCCAATGCATCTGTGCGCATGTGTGATAATGAATGTTGTAAATATATTTTGCTTGTAAATTTAGTCATTTTGTTATGGCTTGCTGTTACTGAAATGTTTTACAGCGCCAAGGAATTACCGAAAGGTTCTGCAGTGGCAGTGAAAGGCTGAAGTAGGCAATATCAAGAACTTAAAGCTGCCCCAGAATCACGAGCTGCTAGAGGAACGTCAAGCATACCCGCTTTTTTTAAACAGTACCTATACGAGTCTAACTCTGCCGTAAATCAAAGAAAACGATATAATGAATATGCGTTCAACGTCATTGAAACATCGTCCTGCAATTGTTTGATGTTATAATTTTATGCCATTGCAAACGAATAAACGTTTTAGTTTTGAAGCAATGGCGCGACTGATGTTAAAGGCGAGCCCGCATCGCAATAACATTGAATCATGTAGTGTTTTCCACTGAGACTTAACGAAGTTCCCACACAACTTAGAGAATCCCGTCGGCTCTAAGAACGACTGCACTCGAGCAACAAATGCTAGAACCAATCTTAGAAACGTGCCATTAATTTGTGTAGTGCTTAGCACATAATGCAAATCTTGAGTGCATATTGCGTTGAGAATACCTTCTTATTTTGAGCGCATTCTATGTAAACAGCACAATGGCTTATTCTAGTATAAAGATGTATATAGCGTAATGCTCCACTTTAAAGTACCTTGCAGTGCAATTTCGGCACTGCTTTGAAATGTTCATTACTAAATGCTATATCGGCAGCTATTGCGTTTTAGTTTCTTCAATAAACAAACAAAAATAATAATTTATCTAAAACGTGTTTAGCATAAGATTGCATTTAGGAATGAAGCTTTAAACCTATACTTCGTCTCACCTTAGCATGGCCTAACTGCGAAGGCTGTGCAAGCACGAGACGCTAACCTTGAATTTGGCTCGTGCCAAGACCGAGCTAAACGAGGTCCCGCCTCTGGAGCACTCGCTGCACGAGCGCTCGTGCAGCCGTCGAAGCTTCATCCTAGAGCTTCATCGCGCTTTCAGAGTGCGCGGCTAACAGTAATCCATGCTGCGATGAAACATAGTATACCGTAATATTTATTTGGTCATTTTTGTTTATACGCACTTACTGCCTATTGGGCAGGAGATCGAACTATAGGGGTCGCTTTATTGAGCTTGTTGTCCCCACAGTACGGTGTTTTCTAACCGCACAACAAGGAACGCATGAGCAGACCCGTATATGTAGAGAGTTTGGCCATTTCTTGCGAACTATAGGAGACAAATGAGGAGGCGCCATTGACCGAAAGCGGGCTGGGCGTGTTCCAGGGCGTCTTCAGAAATTCGAATGTGGCCAACCAGAAGCCGGAAATAATACCCTGGCGGTGGTCGCGAGAAACAATCTTGATAAGTGCGTCGGAGTAACTCTCGGTGACTGAAAATATCGTGCACATGATGTTTGAATCACGGTCATCCAAAATCATGGTGGAAGAGTGCGACTAGCGGTACGATTGACATAATCCGTACGCCAAGCGCCGACAGCCCGGAATCTGCCGTCCGAGCGGTCACACACTGCCCGAGCAAAACAGAGTTGAGCGGCCCATTCGTTTCTTACATCTTTCTGCATGATCATGAACGAAACATCACGTGCACCCTATTTCGAACCACAAAGGGTTACTACACTCCATTCTTACGCGCTTATTAAAACTATATACCTTTGATTAAAACAGTTTCTTGCAACTACGGCTTGGGGATCTTTTATGCTTCTGGCTTGCCAGGAGAGCATGCCAAGCCCACTTTCTTCGTCTAATGCACGCCCTGGCTCTGCCCGCGCCTCCCGTTGACCAAACTATCTGTATACACGGCTCTGGGCACGAGCGCATCGCTCTGACCAGTGCTTTATTCACACGAGGAGCGGCCTTCGAATCGTCATCTTCAATTTTTCTGATCGAAAACAAACAAGAAAATACGGTTTGTTGTCCCCACAGCTGAAGCGTTCCACTAGAGGCGCGGCTGTTCGATTTCCCCCCAATTGCCATGATGTACCTAGTCTACACTACATGACGCAGTTAGCGCGGACACAGCGTGGGGGCTTTTTCGAATTGTCCTACAACAGAAATGAAAGAAACACGAAATTGTATCACCTAAGGTAGTGCCCCAGGCCAGCTTTTTACACCATACAAGATTTTATAACAATGTTTTACATGTACGAACAAAAACACCAACACCCGACGACGCGTTATTTATGCTGTGTCGCGCGCTTTACGCGTCAACGCCGACTTGCTATAGTCATTGTCAGCGTAAGAAACTTAGAGCATGGATTATTAGGATGCTTCATCTCGATTTGTGAGGTATTCTTCTCGTAATCTTACAGGTATATTCCGCAGTTTATTGACCGAGGAGCAATAATATTCAGGACTCGTCACGCGCCGCGTTTCTCAGCCTGTCATTGACTATAGCTCTGTGGCTAGAAAATATCGGATGATACATAGTCTTCTTTTGTGCTAAAACTTCGTGCCAATTTCGATTGAGCAAACACATAATCAATGCAAGGAAATTAGCGTAGCGGAAGGCACGAGGACTTTAGGAACTGGGTTACCTGTGCGAGTCCTTTGATGATAAATAAGGGTGAGGGGCCGCACCCTCGCTGGCGTGCTTTATTTGTTAACGGTGACTGCAGACGTGCCAGATTTACACTTGAAACAATCCAGCGAGTTAATTTTTTTATTTGCTCTCACACCTAGATATTTAGGCCGCCAAATTCTCTGAGTATATAGCGAAATCGTTACTAAAATGCACGTACTCCACAACACTCCCAGTGCCATCAAGTAAAGCTGGAAAAGTACTAGGCAACTTCCACCTGAAATGGAGCGAAACTCGTGCCCTCTAGACGACTGGTGTTCGTAAACGAAAATTCACCTGGTCCGAGATTTGATCCCGGAACCTCTCTAAGTCTAGCAGACAGATCTACCAACTGAGCTGACATTCAGATCAGTTAGTAGAGCTACCGACTGGCAGGAGCGGATAGTCGACAGGGCAAAATACGCTCCAGTTTAGGGGTAAGCAATTTTGTTCTCGTAAATCTTCTCCACCTAAGGGACTTGCCCTATCAATCTATTAATCAAGTCATTACTAGTGATTCTGATGCTTAAGGTTATGGTTATGATGAAGACTGGTGTAAACTGTAAACATCTGTTTGGTCTAATAACTGCCAGCTCCTAATTAGCTCAGTTGTTGAGTAGTGAGTGCTCATCTAGCCTTGGAGAGGTCCCGGGATAAACGCCGCGAGCAGGAGAATGTTCTAGACGGCCACCAGTCGCCGAGAGGGCGCGAGGTGCGCTCTATTTCCGGAGGAACTTAATTTATTTTTTCATAAATCTTGTCCACATTGGAGACTTCCCCTGAAAATCTCAGTGAACTAAGTGATAAAAGTGCGACGCTGTCGCAAGAAAGAGGGCGGTTTATTTGTTACCGCATAAAATATTCCGCACCACCTGACTACCAAGAAGTGAAGGTGTTCGGCGCATGTCAGGGACAAATTGTGATAGATTTGCGAGTCACTTATTGAAAGTGTTACATAGTGCGGAGACTCCTCCCTAAGCACAATTGATTAGGAGATACGGTGGTGCCTCCTAAATTGAAGAAATAGAGGGTGATTTATTGAACAGTGTAAGAAGACTTGTATGTACAAAAACATTTGGAGAGATGATGATGTGAAGGTAGCACATTTTGAGTATTCGCCTGTGTGGTGACACGCCGGTGAAAGATGCTGAAGTTTCAGGTGGAGTTGCGATGTTCACGGTGCGATGCTCTGTCATACCGGAGTGGTGTTCAGTGAGCACCTAGGAACCGAGTCTTTCCGCTGCAAGAAACAAAAGGGTAAACCTTATTGCTTTTGACACAGGCGAAAGGAGTGATTTTGTTGTGGAATATATATTCCAAGTGTGCCGTAGTTGTCGTGCATAAACTTAAAGGGGCCAGGAAACGAATTTCGGGCTGGGATAAATGATTTTAAATTGGGACTTTATTAACCGCATATCGTTTAGTTGGCCAAAACAAAGAGGGTACAACGTCAAAAACCAGCTTTTCGGGACGAACATTTGATAATATCGCGGACTATTTTGTACCTTCTTTCCTTCGAAAGCTCTCCGCCTTTTCACTATGATACATCCGCGGTTCCCAAAGCGCGTCAGCGGTGCCGAACTGACATCAGCCGAGCCAAGCTCACGCATTGGACACGAGAACTGCGTCAATCAGACGTATGCGCTCGTAAACGATCAATCCGTCGACGGATATTTGGATTCGCGTTCGTGGCCAATGAGTGCCCTCACGGAACGTATTGTCATAGGCGAACGACAAGTTCTATGGTGTGCATAAAAAGCACGGTGGAAGCTGGAAGTCATCGCACCGGTGCCGAAGAATGTCACGACGACGCGATTTCACAATTCGCATTTGAGTTGAGGATTAAAGCTAAGGAGGAAGAAGTAGGAAAATCGTTTCATGACCCCTTTAAAGGGGCGATGCATTGATATTTGTATTTTGCGCAAATACCACTTAGAACGAATCCCTGACGTTAATGATCTGTGAAATACCCGTTCGTTTTCACCGCACGCAATCGAAGTCGCAGAAAGAAAATTAAGTAAAACGAGCAGAGTTCACGCCCTCAACTCGCAGCCAGAACAAGCGGCCCCGTGATCTGGAGCCGATTATATGCCGCCAATGTTGTTCATAGCCATGCGCTGGGGTTGGCAAGGCACAGGACACGCGCTGAGTTCCAGACATTGTTATGGTTCGGCTGTTTTCGTCATTGCAGCGATTGGACACAGGACACTACCCGAATGCTTCTCGAGCTATCGATTATCACGAGCCCAAATCGAGTGTCCACGCCATGCTCGGGTCCAATCTATGAGCCGTATTCAAATACCGTCACTGGGCGGTACTGCTACCGCCCAGCTACGTCATCAGGTTTTTCGAAGGAGAGATTGAATGAAAACACTCGGTTTTGTCCTCGAAATTACAGCGCAACAAAGGAGTTTCTTGGTCAGTTGCGTTGCGTGCGAGTATCCTTGAGTCCCACTAGTGCCAGTAAGCTTGTGTAAAGTGAAAAACATTCCAATTGAATTTCGTTGCACCGCCCCTTTAAAGGAGTGGTGCAACTATATTCAATTGGAATGTTTTTTTCACTTTGCACGAGCTTACTGTCACTCGTGGGACTCAATGATACTCGCACGATACGCCACTGGCCAAGAAACTCCTTTGTTGCGGTGTAATTTCAAGGACAAATGCGATAATTTTCATTCAATCTCTCCTTTGTAAAATTTGATGACGTAACGTCGGGATGGCAGTACACCCCAATGATGATATTTTAATGCGGTTCATGGATTGGACCCGATGATTGCGTGGGCACTCCATTTGGGCTCGTGATAATAACTAGCCCGAGAAGCATTCGGGTAGTGGCCTGTGTTCAATCGCTGCAACGACGACAATAGCCGAGCCATAACAATGTCTGGAACTCAGCGCGTGTTCTGTGCTTTGCAAACACCAGCGCGTGGCTATGATCAACATTGGCGGCATATATTCGGCTCCAGATCACGAGGCCGCTTGTTCTGGCTGCGAGTTGAGGGGGTGAACGCTGCTCGTTTTTCTTTAATTTTTTTTTTCTGGGACTTCTATTGCGTGGGGTGAGAAACAAACGCGTGTTTCATAGGTCATTGATGTCAGGGATTCGTTCTAAGTGGTATTTGCGCAAAGTACACAAATTGTTGCATCGCCCCTTTAAAGGGGCACTCCAAGGGCACGAAGAAAACGAAATGCTGCTTCCAAGTGCGTGCCTATCAGTGTAAAACACGCGCTTTCAGCGACGACATTGGTGCTGAGCGTCGGATAATGACGACATATGATTCTAGATGTAAGACTGGCTGATTGAGGTGCACGTGACCCCTTCTGATCTTTTAAGCGCGTGATTTTCAAGCAAACTTTGCTTGGAATACCCGTAAATCAGTGGAGCGTTCACATCTTCATAACTGGATGTGAATTCCAACAATTAGAAAGATCGCGCATGGTTGTTGCACGCTCTTGTCGTTTCGGTTCCCTATTGGATCAGACCAATGGCATCATCAACAATAGAAAATGTGCTCGAAATTCTGAACTTCTTTCACCAGTTATGGTCAAAATACATCAGATTTCGTCTATATGTTATTTTTTATGTGTTGCTAGAGTTCCACACTAGGGCCGCTAAACTCGCCAAATACAATATTCTTTGTTCTGTGACATAAGGGGGGCGGAGGGAGGAGGAGCCGAAAGATTGCAGCGAAGCTTTCTTTTTTCACAAACCCTGAGATTCGTTTATCGTCGTGACATCTTTCTTTAAAGGGGCGAACAATGCCTATCACTCCCTAGGCGCCGAACAAGAGCAGCACAAGAAAGCTCGCGGAGACGACCGTGGTTCATACGTGTGACGTCACGCGATAAATTACCAGCTACGACCAGCAGGATTGATAGTCTCTAAAATGCACGGCGGAAAGTAGGGATAATTGCTATCTAAAATCAACACTGTCGAAGTTGACAGTCTGATATCGTTCTTATTTCTGCCGATAAAGCAGACTTTCCTGAAAAACGTCCCTGCCGTTCCTTTCGTTTTTCTCGGCCTTTTGAATATGAACAAAGGGTAGCCCGGCGTGGCTAGGTCAGAACCAGCCGAGTAGTGTTGTCTTATTTCGAGCGGATTTCGCTTCCGGGCAGTTGTCCCCGCATCGGCGAGATCAAATCATTTTACTGTTTTTTTTTAATCAATGATTATTTGTTGCGTAGGATAGAAAAAGCGTCGGTGTAGTCGGATTTCGAAAATTAGGCAGACTGGGAATAATTGTGCTTTCATCAACTAAATTAAGAGTAATTTTAAGTTGTTGATATTGACGGTGATGTTTTAATAATGCGATGACTCCAAGCTTCCATCGTACACAATGAAACTTGTCACCGTCGATTCGAACACGCACCATTAAATTTGTCGTTCACAACTGATAATCCTGACCCTGATGTCGAGGGTATAAAAAAATCTAAAAGGACGCCACTGAACGTGCCTGCACGTTACGAGCCTGAGCACGAGCTATAGTACCATGCACTGAATAAGCTACGCTCTTGCACGGGCCTTTCTCTTGAAAGTATGTCATGGCCGCTCGTAAGTTCATGGAACGCGAATTATCTCAATTAAAGAACCTCTAGAACCATCCTTTCCAAGAATTGCACGTTGTGCTGTTCCTCGTTCTCGCTCAGTCGGAACGCTTCTAAGCAGGGGCGTCGAAACAGGGGGAAGGGTAGGAAGGTTAGAAAGCCAAACCCCCTCCCGGTGTCATCGAAAGGAGCTGAAAGGTCGAAGGGGGGAGGCATTTGAGAAAGGTATAGTAAAAACTTAGGGAGAGGGATATCGCCCTTCTTCACTCCCCCCCCCCCCCCCCCCTCACTCCTCACTCCCGAACATTGTCTACAGAACCTCCTGACCCCTCTTTGTGTTTGTGTGTGTGTGTGGGTTTGACGTACCCCTTTTGATTTCCCTTCTCTCCGTTTTCCCTCGCCATCCCCCGTCGCCTTCCATCTCTCACACACTACTGACGTCACTACATAAATTGCCTCTGGGTGACCCCGGTAGCTTTCTTGACAGTGGCGGAAGATGAGCTCTAAAGCCGCGGACACCGCGCATGGCTCCACAAAATCAGAAAGTTTAATCTTCGCCTTGATTCCGAAGCGAAGATTTTGGTATCAAATAACTCCTTCCCAAAGTTGTGAAACGTCACTGTGTTGTCACCAATAACTTTCATAAACGACGGTCTTGCGAAGAGAAAGTCGAGAGTATTCACAGCCTGCCTAGGGAGAATCGAAACAGCACTGACTCTAACGGCGCAAAGGGATATAGGGAGTATTGACTGGCGGCCATAGCCGTGTGCGCGAAGGCTAAGCTCGTGCTGACGGCGAGCTTCCACAGATATTTTGCAACGTGCATTCCGCACCATCAAGAGTGTCGGTATTAGCAGCCTATTGATGTGAGTTCGTTCTGAGCATGCGCTCTAAACAGCACCCACAAATATGGCGTCCAGTGAATACCCCCTATAGGGACAGCCGGGCGCGACGTAATCAGTGCAGCCGTGTTGCACTGATTACGGTGTTGCTCGCGCGCGCTCTGGTGAACCTGGCGACGACTTTGTGTTTCAGAATGTCGTTGGAATTTGAGCACCAAGAGAGTGTGGATGATTGCCATCTCGTCCCGCGTCACGCCATTGTCGCGACTGTCCAGTCAGCACGCTCTACGAACTCCCCAACTTTGTTTTTGAAGAGTTAAGGCGGCGGTGCCACGGTGGCCATCTTGAACAAGCCGTTAGTTCAACCACTAGATGGCGGCACTCATCCGTGTGGCGAGAAAACTGGCTCGTGCCACTGATGTTCCTCCTCTGCTCTTAAATTCTTCATTTCTGCTGCTTGCCCATGCACGTTCAGCGCTCAGCGCGCGCTCTCGCTGACACATCTCACAGCAAATGTGCCAAGGATGCTAGCAGTACCCAGTTCGCCGAGAAGCGGAGCCCAACTAGCAAATGTTGTTCTTTAATACTAGCTTTGTTCCGCGCTGCAGGGCTGGCAAACCGATTTCGTTATGCCCGTGTCCCACTAGAGCGACAGACAGAAACAAAAGACAGCGACAAGCCTCAAACCCATGCAGCTTGCTCGCGATGGTACCTTTGGCAGGCGTTTAGTCGTTCGGTGCTCGTGAAGTAAGCACGAGCGATTGCAAGCCTGCCAAAGATACCCCCGCGTGTATGATGGTCCTGTTTGAGCATAGCCTCCTTTATTCTACAAAGCCTCTCAAATCGCGAA